TCCAGAGAAGAGGAAACTTTGAAGGCCTTTTTCTCAAAATGATGACTCGGTAACAGTCATTATATAATGTGACATATTTTGCTTAATATTTGGAGTACAAAAACAATCCTGATATCATTAGGAAGCTAGGAATCTCCTCTTTCCAACAGTGTATACAACTCAAAATGTGTCTTCGGGTCAATGCGACTGATTTCGATGGAGCAGGTCACATATACAGTATTGATTGTCCTTCCTCCTTATCTTCCAACCATTTGGACGCAAACTTGCATTTCCCCAAAACGATGTTGTTTAACAATCGGCGTAAACGGACCTTCGCGCGCTATCAAGCAGTGCGCGTGAGATGTCCTGTTCAGATGACGTCAAATCCAACGGGATGCCATAAATAAACTACACAGAATCACACTACACACCTACGCAATGATTACATTCAGGCAAACTGTAGAATACAACCTCTTTGGACAATTTATATACTTATTGAAAACAAGCTACAAAATGTAATACCTTGGAAAATGCCGTTTAATACTTTTTAATAGCCTTAATTTTCGCTAAATTGATTTATCAACTTTTTATACTTTTTAAGACCCTGCGGACACCCTGTTGTAGAATATAAGAATAAACGCATCAAATATATGAAAAAGATTACGTATTTACAGAATTAACAGTAGGTATTGCTTTAAACACTGTAGACAAGAGGGATAGAAATTGAATACACTATATTACATCTTGTGATTGTACTATTTTTTTGAATTCCTAGACCTGTTTTAGTGCATTTGACCCAGACAAGCCTGCATATATACACCTGTTGAGACGGTGTGGAAACATTTGCGAGCGTCTGGTAGACGTCTATGCATCTAAGCTCATTAATTAAACAGGCACCAGGTTGAGTGGATGATTCCCCTCGCTCACTCCACAGTGGAAAAGGAGTGCAGGCTGGGGTCAGAGTTGTGCTCCTTAATTTAGGAACAGCTTTAAGCACGGAGCAGACAACCTTCGAGCCAAACTGCTCTATCAGCTGGATCAAAGTCAGCGTCAGCGAAAGCCTGAGGTGGCGCTGGTAACACGGCCCAAACAGGAAGCTGTATGAAAGGCATTAGCTAGCTCATATGCTAACTGTGCTAACGACACATTACAAAAGCCACTGTGTCAAGGTAGTCTGGTTTCAGCATTAAACCAGTGAACAGAACATTTAATTTCCCACCTGTTAAACCAGTTGTTCGGCCAAAATTGGTTGGATATTTGATCAGTTAATGATATACGAGTAGATGTATTTTATACCTCACTTAAGTTTTGGAAATGTAATATCATAGGTGTCAGTGTTTCCCACAGAATTTGATTCTATTTGTGGGGGCACCGCACAAATCTTTTAATCACATGAGTATGCTATAGTGGATAGAGCTGTTTGGACCGTTTTTTCATGATACGAGTAATTTGGTTAATGTTATGTTTTCTTCATATAGCCTCAGCCCTTATGCCAAGTAGCTTTCAGATTAGAGCCAAGATTTTTAGGAAACAGCTGGGGGCAATTCTCAATCTGATTATCACGCTCTGTCACACGCTGCGATTCAAACCACAACCACAAAGGAGAGATAAGTCATTATTTTCTTAAAGGTCACCTATTGTGCAAAATCCCCTTTTTCATGTCTCTTAAATAAACATGTGTCCCCTCTGTGGAAAGACACTCTGAAAGTTTCAGGAACAAAGATTCTCTCACTTTTTGTCCTGATCCATTTATATAAAAACCTGTCTGAAAATGAGCTGATCAAATTTTGGCCACTTTATGATGTCATAACGATTTTTTGGCTTGTGTAACCATTAGCCAATCACCAACCAAGGTGATAGAGACATGTTTTGCAAATAATTGTAATACATTAAGTTGTGCATACCGTGAACGGAACAAATACAAATGAAATGATTGAGAGGCGATGTGTACCTCAGCGCTGGGCCACAGGTCGTGGATGACTCCCTTTATTCTGTCCACCACCTCCAGCCTCATCTTCTCCTCCTCCGGCCGTGGAGAGATGTACTCGAAGAAGTCGCTGACCTCCTCGTGCAACCTGCAGACAGAACACAGCGTTGTAAGGACAGAGGGAAAAGTGGGTTTTTGTGGTAGCATCCATTATACATTTAATTTCAATTAGAAACACTACTTTAATTCTGAGGTCCGCCCCAACCCTGGGTTACTTTTAAATCAAAGTTAAAAACATTTATTTTTAATGCAGCCTATCCTGAAATCCATTAACCTCTTAAGCCCTGAGCCTGTTTTTCAGGTCTCAGGCTCGAAAATGACATTCCCAGAACAAATGACTATATCTTCACTTCTAAAAGGGGTAAATTAATAATCTTTTTTCTCAAAGCATTGATAAACCTGTGAGCTGGATGTAGAAAAGTCAGAATCAATATAGATGTTTTTTTATTTTAAAGTAAATTCAGATTGAACATAGTAAAAAAATGTAAATTATAGTGTCCGTCCAAATATAAACATTACTTATAGTGAAAACCACCCTTGAATGATGGGATAGTAGACTAAAAGCTTTAGGAATCCAAACTATAAACATATAATAAGTACCCTGTATCAAGATTGATGCAAAACAAGTGACATTTGACCTTTTTAGCAAAAAAAACACTTCTGGGGTCATTTGGGTGGATTTTCCATATCTCTGGCCCCCCTCGGTCCATTTTGATGATTGACACCTCTTTTTAACCGTTAGAGCCAATAGAATCGAGGGGAAGTTCCTAAAAATCCATCTAAACATTACCCATTGGTGAATGAGTGCTGCGCAGCCAGAATGCCCCGGAACCGGAAACTGCCATACACTCTCGTAGCTATCATTAGCAGCTAATATGAAAACTCCGTTATTGACATAAAAATGGAATGATGGATTATCAGTAATCATTTCAAAGTGACACAGACACATCAGATTAACCTATGGATTAACCTTCAACAGCGTTTTTAGAGAACACAGCAACGGTAAGACTTATTTTCCGATTTGGTCCCGTAAAGCTAATTGTTGTTGTTGTTGTTGTTTGTTGTCATTTCGCCGCGAGTTCTGATCGCTCAGTGATGATACTAATACCTGTATAATCTGTGGAATCTCAGCTTGCTAATTGATATCGTGTTTGTGCAGATACGATAAGTAATAAGGGTATTTAAGCTGTGAGTTATGTGCTAAGTGTGTTAGCATTTTTTCGCTCAGGGCTCATTTAGACGCTTCTTGCTAGACTTGTGTTTTGTTTCGGTAAAAATGGTTCGTATCGTCAGTTAGCTGAGTTTCTTCCTGTTAATCGGGTACGACACATTAATAGGGGCTCTCGGGCTTCACAGGTTAACCGTGCCTTATCATTGCAATTTTAGTTGCAGCCAGTATTTTATCGCTTTTATGAATTGTCTTCGTGTTGATTGTGTGTTTGTTTTGCTTTGAATTATTATGTGTTGAATGCCTATGTGAAGCACTTTGAATTGCCTCTGTGTCTTAAAATGTGTTATACAAATAAACTAACCTTGGACCTTAATGTTTAGTAATGATGAACTTTTAACCTGAATTGTATCGAAATCCGCACAAAATGGAGCTGCAACATTTGTTTAAATGTGTGTAATTATTATAAAGTTTTTTTTATTACAATTGCTGGTGGTGCAGAGATTTCCTGGACTACACGTTATAGTAGGGCTGTGCAATTAATCGTATTTTAATCGCAATTACGATTTTGGCCTGCCACAATTACGAAAACAACATAATCGAAAAAAACAATTATTTTGCTTTGCTAGGTTGTGACAGTGCACTGCAACATATTTGATCTCATTTATTTGTATTTATCATATTTATATATGTTTAGTAGCTTGGGGAAGTGCGCTCCAAAATATTTGTTGATGTTGTTTATTGGTATTTATTATTTTGATATTATTTATTTAAATGTATCATTTATTTTTGTATTGGTTTTTCAGTTGAATTATACGTTCAGGGTAATCAACAGTTAAAAAGATACTGTTCAAATTATTATTTGTATTTGTTTTAAAGTTCAATAAATTGATTTTTTCAAAGTCAATGAATAATCGTATTTAATAATCGTGATATCAATTATTGACCCAAATAATCGTGATTATGATTTTTGCCATAATCGCACAGCCCTACGTTATAGTCAACAGAATTAAAAAAAGAACATGTTATTTTCAAAGATCCCCCTCATAATCATGTTAAATGTTTCAATGAAAATGAGAACAATGATTGAAAAATGACTTATTTTGCTAATCATATCACAATGGGAATACTGTTAAAAGAAAAATAGACGTCAACTGTTACGGTCTTAAAAACAGATCAATTAAGTACATTTGTTTTTGTGTTGTTGAGTATATCTGGGTATGACTGTTCTTGTTCTCCTAGTCCAATCTGTGCCCCCCCTGCAGCGGAAACACAATCTGTATGCTGAGACACTGCCAACAAAAACTGCTGCAGGTACCACAAGTCAGACTTGAAGTCACATTGACTCAACGTCGAAGAAAAGCTTCTCTCGACGTGCATATTTAAACGCACAACTCCTGCAAATAATCTGTCTGTATAGTGTCTGTATGTCAAATATCAAATCACTGAGAAAATAAGAGGGAAGATGGGATTTTTTTTGTTTTTTTTATTAGCATTTCCAAAATGGTGAGCTTCTATGTTGCATTTTTTTAAAGGATTTTATGAAATTGTTATGTTTTTTTAAATATAATTTATTTTTAGTGTGACTGACTTTACAACAGCTGTCCAGGGACTACAGATGAACAATAGCCCCTGTTTATTAATGTGCACTGTACCTAATAAATACATGAAATTATAAATAAAGGTGTGCTACTGTGTTCAAATCACCAGGCCTATATAAAAATGTATGCAGCAGAAACAGAATATTATCTGTGTAATCCCTTTCCGTGTGAGAAAATATCGATAATGTTGTTGAATATCACTATCATTATATAACTTGCCATAAACAAGCACATTGTTCTTAAATTCTGCTGCTTTTAAATCTAGTGATACAAAACAACAAATGTCTTGGTGATACAAAACATTTAAGAAAATTGAACTGTCCAATATGGGCTTCAAGAAAACAATTTGACAATGCTGTTTCCTACTGCCACTCTCTTTCAACCTACTTGTGATGTGTTTATAGCGCAAGTCGCCACCTGATAGTTGTTTATCAGGTGTCTGATATAGGCGGAGGTGAATAATTAACTGCAATCTAAAAGGGGTCACTTCTTTCCGGTTGTAATTTCAATGTTAAGCCAAACCAAATATTCCTTTTTTTAGGATAACAGGGCTGTGTGAGTCAAAATAATATGTACTCAGTAAACGCAGTCTCAGCAACAGTTCCACATTTGTCCTTGGAACAGGTCGCTGAGGCCACATGCGCTGACTTTCCCACTGACCAACTTTGTCCACATGCACAAGTGTGTGGGCGGACAAATAAGAACACAAACACACGCGTGCAAAAACACATCACACATGAGGACCATAATAGGCAACTCCTCTTGGCAAAAAGTCATGTTACAGCTTTTAAAAATAGAATAAGTAAAGTCTGCGTGTGCCACAGAAAGTTGGAGAAGAAAAAACAAAAAAGCAGCTATTGACACTCACTGCCTTTTTCTTAGGATTGCACCACATAGAGAACTGTTTGTCCATATAGGTTTCTGGGTGTCATGTTACAACAACACTTCCTCTGACTACAGACAACGTTTTTGGGTTTCACCGTTATTATTTCGGAAATAGATACAGAATAAAACATTGTTCTCCTTAGCTATATGCGATCATGCTGACCTTCAGAAAAGTGACCAACCCCCTAAATACTGGCAACCAAACAGAACAGCATTAAAAACACAACGCTATGCAAGTGTGTGAATAGACATGAATATGAAATATAACAACAAGGAAGCTACTCTGAAGGCTTATCAGACAACGGGACAATGTACAGCAGCCAATACTTGAAAAACATTCACATTTGCAGCTGTCTCAAAAAGGGCTTGAACTACGTAATGTTTTCATAATTGATTTATTATTATTTTCTGGAAAATACATAGGAAATGTCAAAACAAATGTGAAAAATGTGCTTCTATTGGCTAGCGCTCCAACACATTGTACGTGCTAGGCTTAGGGGCGGGACATCTCCAAGCGGTTGACCAATCCCAACAGAGTCGGCCAGCTAACCAATCAGAGCAGACTGGGCTCTGGTTTCAGACAGAGGGTGAAAAGAGGTGCTGCAGTAGGGCTGCTCAATTAATCGTATTTTAATCGCAATTACGATTTTGGCTTGCAACGATTATGAAAACAACATAATCGAAATAAAACTATTTTTTTGTATTGGTTTTTCAGTTGAATTAACTGTTAAAAACATACTGTTCAAATTTATTTTTTCAATAAATTGATGTTTTCAAAGTAAATGGATAATCGTTTTTAATAATCGTGATATCAATTATTGACCCAAATAATCGAGATTATGATTTTTGCCATAATCGAGCAGCCCTATGCTGCAGCACAGGGATAAAGAGCTTTTTGAACATTAAAGCATGGTGACATGTCACAATGTGCCTGGAAGTATTCACATGTGTTACTTCTGATTATATAACAGACTACGCATCTTATTGCCAGCATCGAACAGTGCCAATATAAACAGCCAGCCACTATGATAAGCCCATAAAAACAAAAACACCTCTGTTGCATAATGCATGAGAACTATGCTTCATGCCACACATGTCACACAGACAAATCCATCATGACTGTGGTTTTATCTTGAGGGAACATTTAGAGAGTTGAGCACAAATAAAAAAAGGTTTTATTTCACTGACTTGTTTCGTCAAAGATAATGAACAATGAAAACTGAGTTATTTGTCTTTTTGTCGCACATTACTTTGAGCTTTTATTTTACTTGTGTGACCAAGTCGTTTGAAATGCCACCTTTTATGCGTGTTTTAATCGATGTTTTTGTTGTATTTGTTAGGGTTTTCTCAGGAGGAAAAAGTTTCGGTTTCCCTTTCTAGCCCCTCCTGTTCTAGTATAATGAAAACAACTCTTATTTCTAATGACCTAATCTG